TTTTGCACTCGGGCTCGTCATTCTATAACCTATAACCTCATATAATTCAAAATGTGTTACAGCTTGATTTTTGATATGACTCGTTGAAAGATATGCCGCTTAAATATATTTAGGTACCATATGAAAAGAGATATCATATAAGCTTTTTATTGAAATGACGAGATGCGATGGCTTCAAAGAATCCTTTGATATCTTGTATGAATAGAAGACATTTATAAAGCTGTGTAATGCCTGCTCGGTGCGTAATCTTTACGAACACCGAGACACGAGAGTCCATGAGAAATATGAGTATTTCTGATATTATATGTGAAGTAGAAGCTATAAGGAAAGGATATTTATATTTACACAAAGGTAGTTTGAACCTTGCGATTTTACTATGTAGTTAAATACCAATAGTAAATAAAAAATGGATGTCAACTTAAAGCGGTGCTTAAACGTCTGAGGGCTTAGTATGGGTTTCTTATAGATTTTGGCAGCATACTCTTGTTTCAGGCAATTAATCGACATCTTTGTCAAGAAGCTGACTCGCTCTGCATGACACTACGGAGGATTTTAATTCGAAAAATCACGGAATAAGCAGATCGGCCTTTCCGAAACAAGAGCAGTCTACAACTGTTGAAGAAATTGAAGATATTTTATCCGTATGAGTTAATTTATAAGTGTCCTCAGAAAATTAAAAACGCCCAAAAATGTGGTTGGGCATCCTGCTTTTTGATATATAAATGAGGTGAATGAGTATGAGTGCAATATTGTTTTATTATTGGAAATGAAAGTACAATTGTTGTACACGTGATCAAGTGGCCGTATTCAGTTTCAGGTATTATTTCCCTACTCTGAATTTAAAACAAATAATTGCTTCTCGTGGATGGTGATATAATCTGTTTCATATAATATAATAAGTTCACAATCAATGAAATTATCAAATATCGGATATCGTTAGGGCTAAACAATTATGAAGTTTTCATTTGGATTCGAAAACAGCAGTAATTATCAATAAAAAGCTTCCCCCAACTTTCTGATATCTTAGATTTGTCAGAGAACAGTTACAATATGCATCATTCAGTAAAATGCAATTTGTCTACTCTACTTTTAAGACTAAATAGAGTAATAGGCAAAACTAGGCAAGTACTTTTGCCTTAACTAAGTTCCACAAATTTGATAAATCTTATCAAATTTTTCTACCTGAAGGAGGTGATCTCACTTTAATAGCTCATTAATTCTAAATAAATTGGTGTATTGTGATGATGTTTTTTTCCCGTGCCGTGAATTGCGTACTCTATGACCTCCCCTCGTATTCACGTTTTCTCGAAGACGTGAAATTTTAGATTAATCATTAATTATAGTTCCGTTATTCTAAAATTGGGATAGTGCCCTGTTCTATATATTATTTTGTTTCCTATAAAGAGTATCGAATCCTCTAGCAAACCTGATGTTTTTATGACATACCACAGTCGTTTTTGTTTTCGTGTGTTACACACAGAAATGGACAAAAATCGATATTTTTCATTTTCCGTATTAGAATTTATTATAATGAATGAAACGATTTAAATCAATTTTTAAGCCTTGTAGTAGCTCTAGATGATATTCAGGACGCCAGGAATGCGTTATGAGGCAGGACCATCGACTTTAAAACGAGGATAGATCCAGCAAGTCATTCATAAAGCTACATTCGATTCGTTGACTACATAAACAAAGCACAAAGTGAAGGCTAGGGGCTATGAGGGAATGAGAGGGGAACAATAAAATGGCCGCCGCACGAGAATTCAGGCTGTGAAACCTAACGTCACTGAAAACTCCATGTATAATCATTGGTACAGTTATACATAGGCGTAGCATACAATACGTATAAGGGTGACAACATAAGCGTATTTAAATCGGGAGTATCACAAAAAAAGGTACGAAGTAACATGTTCTATAATTTTTTACTCATATTTGCAATTGGAATACCTACGTGAACACTGTTGAGTGGGCAGGATGCAAAATGTGTAGTCAATCCTTTAAAATAGAAACTCCTAGTTATGTTCTATTTTTATTCATATATATATATATGTATATATATTGCTAACTTTAACAAATTAGGGAACATGGAATGATTATCTAGACCCCAAATAAGTTTTAACATAATTACATAGCTCATTTTCATATCTTCATTCATAAAAATACACTAAGTATCACCTGAAATGTATATATCGAGCAGTTTCTCAGTTTTAATATAATTTTTATATCTTGCTATGAAAACAAGTTGGTTATACATATTATATAGGCATATTGTATAGAACAATTAGCTTTGTTACGATAAATAGTAATTATAACCAAAATAGTAGCAGTCATATAAGAACAAAGTTTAGAATATAAGAGAAACTTAGGCTATCTAAAAACTAAGATAAACGTTATTATTGGTGGCTGACAGAGTTAACAATAAAAAAATGGCATCAAGCAGGATGAGTACTTACTGCAGAGTCTTCAGTTTATATAGGATTATGTTCCTCAAGTTAAACGTCAGAACGAAAATTAAGCGATTTTTGTTTAATTTTTAGTTTTTTGCCGTTAAATTCATTGCCACTGGACCGATTTTCAAAAAGTACAAATCTTTTTCGTCCTTGCTACAGTAGCAACCTTGTGTGAAGTTATAGACGAGCCAAGGAATAGAGGACAGGCCAAACGAAATGAGTGAAATGATTTTTTGTGATGTCCATATCGTATAACGTCCAGAAAACATGATATCTAATTTTCGAAATGTTTCGCGATTACGATACTTTGATAGCTGTTAAGAAATTCTGGGGAAAAAGTGTTTGTTTAAAATGCTTGATTCAACCTAATCAAGAAAACAAGACAATTTATATTGTGAGGCAGCAAACGTAATATCAATTAAAATGTCCTTTGAGAGCTACCGAGCGTCGATAATTCTATTTAAATTGTATATGATGAATGTTTTTATTGACAGCTAAATGAATTCAAATAGGCAGGATTCCATATTATTGTTTTTGGACAGGCTTATCATTGTGAACTGACTGAATAAAGCTCACTGATGTTTAAACAAAATATTTTTTTGTGGAAATGTTTCTTATTTTGAGCGTTTTTGATAATTCTTGTTGTTTTGTCGTTTCATGGTGTATTCTTAAATTGAAATAATTGCAAATATAAGTTTTATCAGGCGCATCACATACCCATCTAGCGGATCGTCATCATATAGGTGATTTTCAAAATCATGTAATATTTTTGGTGATAATGTTTTCGGTGTGTTTAGTATTAAAATATCTATCGAGTTTTTTTATGTTTTTGTATATTTGTAGTTTTATGAAAAGATCTGAACTACTTTTCGGCTACAGCACAAATTTCAATTACAACGTTTGAGGCATTTACTGAAGGGCCATACTGTTTTCTTTGTTGTAGTTTATAAATGACAATATCACCCTCCAAAAGACTGCAGCGCTTTGAACATGTGACACATTTCTTCAAAACTTTGACAACAAATCCTGAAATGTAGGCTACCACATCTTCAGCATATATTGTTAAGACCCAAGCAGATGAAGAAAAACTATATTTTGATATGTCTTCACTCACAGCATCTTTAAAATCAATGAATTCTTTACTGTTTAATAAATTTTCCCCATGTTCATATACTGTAACCTGTTGTCCACTAGCGCAGGATACAATAGTCAGATTTTCTGAATGAGATATGCTTCCCGTAGATGGACATGAAATCTCCATGTGTAGAAGTAATCGTTAATATGTGGCCTCAAAATGTCTTGCTGTTATTGAAGCCTCCTTTACCCCGAATCGCACCAAAGAATAATTCAAGATGATCATGGGATAATTTGTTTGTCAATATGTATTTCATACTTTTCAGGTTCTCTACTTAGGTGCTACACAACTCCCTACGGCTTTGGATACAAATATAAAATCCTGTTTTTCTTGGTGAATCTAAAACTGCAACGTCAGCAAGCTTTAAATTTGAGATATAAATGATTACTTGATCTAAAAACTGGAAGAAAGTGTGGGTGGTAGAGGGGGATAAAGTCCTCCTGTACAAATATTTTGCAAATCTGTTCCGGGAATTGAAGATGTCGAATAGATCGTTAAACATCTGTATAAAAATAGACGCTGCCTTCCACCAAGTATAACAGCGCATCTGCTACACTCTTACTCAGCGTTTTCACCTCCATTTTCTCCCTTGCCCACTGGAGGTTTCTGGCCCTTATTTTTGTAGCTAAGTGTAATCCCTAAGAACTTTGTATATCACTAAAAAATTCCAGTCAATCTGGTTGCCAGGCATATCTGTCAAATATTTTTGAGAACCAAAAGTGTTTCTGACTAATTTTATCATGTGACAAGGATCTAAAAATATATAAACTTTGTTGCTAGTTATAGGGTGATTGAAGTAGGTTTTCAGCTGCTTGGGATCACTAAAATTGGCTCCTAGACGTGAAGCAATGGTCAAATTAACAGGGGCGCCATCAAATGTTAGTGCAGGCAGTGTTTAACTACGTCGGCTTTCTCAGCACCACTAAGGCCATCCAAGAAAAAGTATCCTACTGGTATTTTCCAATACCCATTAATGCATACTAGCATGAATACTAGTACTTCTTTTGCCTCTGGGAGAATATCTGAGTGGACATGTGTGCCTATATCAACATATCCACAAAACTTGGTACATGTCCATTCTACTTGTTTACTAATTGACATTTCATCTAAAACTAAATTGCCAAAAATTTCTTTTCCCTGGGCAGCTGCTTCTTCCTTTTTCAATATTAATGCATTCAATGCCTCTTTTGTGAATCCTGGTGAACCATCTATTGACTGATACCATCTGCTTATAGTATTGATGTGAGGAAGTGACCAATTGTAAGTATTTCTCACAAGATTATAAGCTCTTGGTAATAGAAAGCTAGAGTTAAAGCTGGACTGTATTTTTGAGTTGCAGGTCCCTTCATCATTCGCTCAAAAATTTCAAAAGCAGACTCTGGTAATGATTCCTGAAAAATGAATAATTACGCTTAGTGCTTGGAGTCCTTTGTGGATCATACAGATTTTAGTTACCTTTAATATATTTTCTGACGATTCTGACGTCTAATGTTTGCTTCTCAGCAGCTTCAACAGTCTGCTTAATGTTTTAATTCTTCTAATTAAAGTTGTTACTGTCGTCTGGAGGGCACGTATTTTTTCCTGTCGGATTCTAAGGCAGATTTCAGAACTCTGAAATTTCTTTTTGCCTTTTTGGGATGGAAAAATCCTCACTAGATATATCACCCACATAGCGAATTTTCCTGAAATGTTCAGATTTAAGACAAACCACCTAAAACTGCTTTAAAACATTTTAAATCAATTAAGAATAAATTCCTTAATTCATAACATAATAGCTACGTTTTCATCCCAAGGTCAATTTAATATTATTTAGTCAATAAGTTTTTAAACTTCTCTTACCTCTTATGTTACTTTTTTTCTTATCAAGCATATGTTCTTGTACCCCAGCAGTTTTAGCAGGACTATCACTTTCTGATGCTGATAATGTTGAGGAAGTATGGACATATTGCCTACAAAGAAGAATTAACTCCTTTGTAACAGTATAAAACCACAAACGTTTAATAAGCCGTACTCTTCATTTGATGGGCCGGGCAAGTTATACATCTCTTCATCCATGAATAACCTGTAAACAACAAATAAATAAGTGCTATGAATAGAATACTGCTGATCAGGAATTATCAAACATTTAGTAAGGGTTATATTAAGGCGTATATCAAACTGAATGAGTTTCAACTTCATCATCTTTTTTATGGTACAGCTTGGGGTAAGCTCTACTTAAATCATTACAAAACCCTAGATAATTTCCTGAATACTTTCTTGTTGTACTTAAACCTACAATGGTGGTGTTTTTCCATCTACGGTATCAATTCAGCAAATATAAAATGCTACCATATGGATGTACGACTCCAGAAATGTTCAATTTCATAGAAATTTCAATATACTACAAACTAACAGCATAGAGAATATAAGTTAAACTTACCTTTTTCTAGCAGGAGTCCCCTCACAAGTGATTGAAACGGCAGATATAGTACTAGAATCTGAGTATTCTTGCTTCACTGGACTTACAGATGATTCTGAACTAGAATAAAGCATACCTCTATATATATATAATAAATAAAGGTATGAGTTATAAAAATCAATGTAGATATATAAAAAATACACAAAAAAACAAAAGGAACTATAGCTTTAGTCAAAGCATGAGCAACTCAGTTTAATGCATTGGGATTTGAACAAGCCAAATCAATCAAACGTACTGTCACTGTCTTCATAACAATTGAATGTGAGATATAAGCATCATCTTCATTTCAGCTCATAAGATCAGGTATGTTAGCTCTTGTTGATTGCTGATAGATTATAGAGCATGTCTATTATCTGTGAAATCGCCAAAATATAACAGTAATTATAGCTAAGTTTACCTAAATCCATAACAGTTAAGTTAGGAAATACCTAGATCAGAAACATCTTATATGAAAAGATAAACAGCAGATACAATCACACATCAGTCTGATCGAATTAGCGTGTCAAAATGAGTGGTTGTTAAATAAACTAGTCTATTATGTATTAAGAATTTACCTGGTGCTTTCTGCAGGAACAAACAGAGAATGAGAGATGAGAGGAATCGCATCTCGCTTGAGTGTCTTTTATCCCTCACTTCCCTAAACAAACGCATTTTCTCCAAAATGCTTGGAACATAGCTCCACCCTATTAGGAAATTGCTGGTTTTCGACGAATCCAAGGGCCGACAACCACCTTTTTCTCCTTTCCGGGTTCTTGGGAAGGCTAGAATTTCGAATATTAAAGTTATAAATCGAAAGCTATCAACAGTTTCTCGATAATGAGATGCCATGGTACGCCTCTGAACATAAACATAAACAAGATGTATACTTACGAATGAAATGCTTGATTTCGCTCCTTCCTGATGTTTATAAATTTTTCACAAATAGCACTGCTGCACCATTTTATTGCGATTGAATATACCTTAATAGTTTCTCTAAAATGAATAATTATGAAACAAACTTGATATCTCAATCATGAATAAAAGCCGCAACGAAATTCACTATCAAAACAAGCTTTGACAATTAACACAAAATGACAGTTGTTTAGTAACTTAAATAAGTGCTACCAATATATACTAAGTGACATATAAATCCGAAGACCCAGTTTAAATGGTTTTATTTTAATAAAAGTTGGTGAATGTATTTATCTTACTGTAAATAACAAGTGAAAAAATTTTCAGCCTTATCAGTTGGACATCCCCGTGTTTATACTGTTTTTTTTTTAATTCACTAACGCTCTAAAAATGAATATTTCAGCCGCAGTAAAGAATCAACGTTGGCGGATTTTGGTTCTTGACATCCTTTACGATCGGTTACGAGGCCTAGAGTACGGAGACCTGTACAATTTCGTCAACTTAGTGAGTTTGATAGGGGCCGTATAGTTGGACTTCGGGAAGCTGGACTTTCTTGTCGGGCAATTGCAGTTAGAGTGCAAAGAAGTGTAGACACTGTGGTTAGGTGTTATCAGGCATGGCTCCGAGAAGGCCGTACGCAAAGAGCAAGGGGCACTGGACGCCGCCGTAGAACAACAGACCGTGAAGATCGCCGCCTAGGATTATTGGCCTTAAGGGACCGTTTCTCCACTACCAGGACCACTGCAAATAAATGGTTTGAAGACCAATTGGCATGCGAAGTGTTTACCGATGAATGAGAAGTTTTGGCTTGTTTTCATACCGGCCACACTGGGTCCTCCCTTTAACTCGAGAACACCGCCGTAATCGCCTTGAGTGGTGCAGACAACTGTCACTCTGGGATCAGGAGTGGAACAGTATTGTCTTTAGTGACGAGTCTCGATTTTGTTTAGGCATGCACGATGGTCGTGCCAGGGTTAGAAGGCGACGTGGTGAAAGGAGGAATCCACAGTTTTTTGTTGAAAGACATGTTCATCACACTGTTGGAGTTATGGTTTGGGGTGCTATAGCTTATGGTTCCAGGTCACCTTTAATCTTCATCAGAGGTAATATAAACGCGCAGCGTTATATCCACGAAGTTCTAGAACCCCATCTTTTACTCTATCTTGAGACCCTGGCAGATCCAACTTTCCAAGAAGATAATGCCCGACCACATGTTGCAAGAGTCACAATAGACTTCTTTCAACATAATGATGTCACATTGTTACCATGGCCACCAAGATCTCCCGACTTATCCCCAATTGAGCACGTGTGGGACATGATGGGTAGGAGATTGCTCAATTTGCAACGTCCGCCTCAGACTCTAGAAGCACTTCGAGAGGAATTGGTGGTTGCCTGGAATGAGATACCACAGGAGGACATTGACCACCTGATCAGAAGCATGCCTAGGCGCGTTGGAGAATGCGTAGCACATCAGGGTGCACCCACACATTATTAAAGGTCAAAGGGCTTTAAAGCAGTGCAATCATTTTGAAATTTTTATCATATACTTATTATGCTTCATTAAGTACTTATACAAAATTTTATTAAAATAAAACCATTTAAACTGGGTGTTCGGATTTATATGTCACTTAGTATACTATTATCTTACGATGTAGATACAGAATGAATGAACAGATAAAAGCAACGTTGCCAGATCTTCAAGTCGATTATGGTATAATTTATGTAAGATTTTTACTTGTTTGACTATTTTGATATCAATCCATTGTACGAGAATCATGATGTTAAGTACCCACACATACGCTGGAAAATCACCATGAACAGGAAAATAATTTTAGTTACTGGAGGTTTGAGAATGTGTAGAACGACCACGAGCAAATCCGTTGTTTTGCTGCCGCAGCTTGCGGCGAGGCACTGTGCGAATTTACTTTGTATATGTCGTCAACAACCAGAAACGTAAACAAAGGGGTCTATCCTCGTTTTAAAGTCGATGGGCAGGACTAATAGGTTCAGGGATTTGCAGGGGAAAAACAACAAGTCAAAGTGGCGTATCGAGACACTGGCTGAAATAGGCATGTAGTGCCCTTATAACGAATGAGAAGTCTTTCTTCCACATTCAGATGCCCTGTGGGACTTATCACACAACCCTCCTGGCGTTGTGGTCCCTGTAAGGTTCCTAACAGCGGACAAAAAGGCACTAAGGGCCCTTTTGGATGTAGTCCAGGTTAAAATGCACTTTAGAGTGGTCAGCGTGCGGAAATTGCAACCTGCACGGAGCTGATGCACTGCCGGACGTCGGGGAGACGCTAGAACTGGCTATAGGCCGTTTTGGGACTTGAAACCCTGCATAGTCTGATTTAGCCCTTTGGAAAGAGGTGCCCTAGGGGTGTGGGCACTCATTTTATAGGGTACACCATAAGGAATCGAATAGACATACTTTTGATTCAATCAAATGCACCACGTCGACGTCACGACGTCAAGAAGATTCGCAGTGACGGGCGGCATGACGTAGCGACCAAGGTCGTTTATAGAAAATTGGCGAGCACTATAAAAGCGCGGGCTCTTTCTTTTCCGTTCTTCTCTCCTGGCAGGCAGCCAACATTAGTACCGAAGTACCCGCTTGTACCAAGAGGTAATGGGGTGAGTTGAAAGGGTGTTCCGTTTAAACCAGTGCGTTCCGTTTCAGTGATTTAGTTGTAATTCTGATAACCGTAAGTGAAGTGTTTTTTGGATTTATTTATTTTTTTTTGAAATTTCGCTTACCGTATAGAGCCTAATCCAAAATCCGAGGGATTTTATTTTTCTCTGTTCTTTAGTCATAGAAATTGTAGTGTACCGTTTTCCGTGTATATCTTTGACATAGGAATTTTAAGAAGAGAGTTGTTTGTTTCCCGTTTATTTTTGAATATTGACCGAACTAGTATACTGAAGGAAATAAAGAAATAACTGTGAGTTAGACTTTGATAATATTTTAGAACAAACCGTTTATCAATGGGTTTACCAGCCTTAGCGAAATCTACAGGGTTATCCAAATTAAGTGTCCACCATTAGTAACTTTGTTATTAGTGAAAATACAAAGTTGTTTGAATTAGCAAACTAGTAGCATTTTTAACGCTGGTAAAAATGAGAAATAAAAAAAAACAATTGAGAGTCGTTATTTTGATTTTTTTCAGTAAAATAACATTTTTTTAAATGGAAACCCCTGTATATTATATTTTTTTCTGTTAAAGCATCAAATTTTAAACAAAAAAGTTCATAATGACTTTTCCGCTAAAGTCAAAAATAAAGTCAAAATAACGATAAATATTTTTAATTATTTGCAGTATTATAATATTAAGACGGCTATGAAAACAACATGGCGTTCGCGATTTGACAGCATTAAGATAAGCGACAAATTGTTAAACTGGACATACTCGCAACTAGAAGGCTTTGGAAAACAATGATAAAATCAAATAATGTCAAACATTAGTGTAAATACTTGTTTATAAGCTTTATTGTGTCATTAATTTAAAGAAAAATGTTCTCCCATGAAGAAAAGTGTGATATGTTAGAATGCTATTTAGTGTGCAGAAAATCCTCCTTGAGAGCAAGAGAATACTACAGTGAATTATATCCCGCTCGCATTCAACCGTATGAACGATATTTTCTGAGACTTTATCGAAAATTTAGGGGCAACGAAAATGTTTTTGCTAAAACAAGGGCAAAAAAAGAATTCAT